GTGCAAGTACTGACAAGTACCGTAAAATCTGTATTAGAAGCTGCATCCGGAATAAAAGTCGCACCAATTCTTTTTGAATAACTGAGAACCAAAAATTCATCATTTCTCATATGTGTAAGATGCTCTAATAGAAGCCACATCCCCTCTGTGCCATTTTAATAGAAGATTTTACAGTAGTACATTTTGCCATGGAAACCATGTACCATGTTTAGGACTATAAGACCATATTCCTATTTTAACAGCAATGCACTATCCAGACATCAAGCAGGACAAATCTAAGCCAAGCAACTGCAGAGTTTAGCAACGTTTCTCACAACGTTACTGCAGAGATTGAAAGAATCCTATTCAGTCTACAACATACATACTCGGGTATGTGTTGACCTCCATTTGGAATACAACCAAAGCTGAATTTGAACCCTTAACCTACCAATAGTACGTGCCTGGCGTTACAACCACTACACTACCAGTAAACTGTCTACTGTACAACATATTACAAAATAACCCATGAAACAGTAATTTTGTGTAGCACATACACTATGCTTACTTTATCTTGTTGTGATTTACTTTGTTCATTAGTCTTTTCACTGCTGGCACTTTGTTTTTCATTAGCCATTTCACTGCTGGAACTATTTTGTCCATTAGCCATTTCACTGCTGGCACTACTTTGTCCATTAGCCATTTCACTGCTGGCACTACTTTGTTCATTAGCCATTTCACTATTTGTAGATTTAATATCAATGCCTTCATCCACACCATCCTGCTGACAGTCACTGCTGTTGTTGCTATGGGAACTGTCCTCGTTTTCAGCACCACTGTCAGTATTGCTATCTGCATCAACCTTGTTCTGAGGTAGATAGAGAGAGAGAAAAAGATGAATTTCGGATATGGATACCCCTGCTTGCATAGGCGATGATTTGAATCAAAAACAGCCATCAGTTAGTAAAACTACCGACAATTCATATTTGTAAATCAAGGATTACAATGCACACAATCAGCCAAGTGAATAATTTATGAGAATGGCTAAAAGTGAATCTACCAAGTTAGCTAAATAGCCAAAAGCATAATTTTATATGCGAGAATGGCCAAAAGTGAATTTGCCTAGTTAGTCGTAAAAAATAGCAGAGTAAATATTTGATGAAATGGGATAAATGTAAATCTGCCTAAATTAGCTGAACAGCCAAATATGCATTTTACTTTTATGATGTCCTAATAAAAAGCTTGGAGCAGAAATATTATAATGCTATGAACAAGCAGCCTATTGGCTGAGATAGCTCCGCTGTTAGCAATGCACATTTCAATTAAAGAACTGAAGATATCATTAGAAAATGAACAATATGTATAGTATCAAAACAATCGGACTTACAGTTTTTAACAAGAAGTCGAAAATATCACTTTTTACCAAAAATTACAAAAATATTCACCAAAATAAATTAATTAGAGAATTGAAGATATCATCACAAAACGAACAAATCTGAGAGAGGTCCACATGTAGTCCCTATATATGTAATATCAAAGCAATCAGACTTGCAGTTTTCAACAAGAAGTCGAAAATATCACTTTTTACCAAAAATTACAAAAATATTCACCAAAATTAGAGAATTGAAGATATCATCACAAAATGAACAAATCTGAGAGAGGTCCACATGTAGTACCTACAGTACAGTTCTCGCGGAAGCTTTGGCTTCACTTCAGCTTCACCTTCGCTTCAGCATCGCATCATTATGGCATTGTTATGGCTTCAGCATCGCTTCAATGTCGCGACATTAAAAAGTTAGGCGATTATCGCTTCGCTTCATTGTGGCCTCATTATGGCGACAATGTGGCATCAGCATCGCTTCATCAAACAAAGAAGTACTGTACTCATTTCCCCCAAACCTCTTGACCGCTTCCGCTTTTGACCGGTCAATTTCCGTTTTATTTTCGACCGTGCAAAAATTCGGACTACTAAAAATTTTCTGGTTTTCATAGATCACGGTTACTAGTTTAGTAACCGTGCATAGATGTTGAACAACCGTCAAAAGTTCAAATACTTTTTGTTTTAACTATCTATAATTATATGCACGCAATCTGACCCTTTGACCTAGATTAGGCTGGGATTGAATATTTTATTTTAGACAATATTACGACGTGACGCACTGCTACAAAATGTATTCAACAGAAGTACAACATGGTTGTCTGGGTTTCTTTTCCTGATTGTGTTGAGTTTACGATTTGTATAATTATTGTTGTTTCCCCCCAAGCAGAAGACAAGCTGAAGGACCATGAAGCTAAATAGAATTCCCACGCATGGACGTGACTGAGTGACAGAAAATATTTCTAGGCTAAAATAAAAAT